GGGACATGGAAATAAAAATGGAAATCTTGAATATTCGTCAACAATATTGAGGAAATACTTCTTATTATCTGTGCTAGGAAGGGGTCCTTTAAAGTCTATGTTGAGGCATTAAAATGGCTGTGTAGCTTTTATGAGATGGGCCTTCTTGGGCTGGTGAAAGTTTGGTCTGCATTCAGCACATACTTTACATGAACGTCTTCCACAGAGTAAGGCAGATTCCTAGATTTGATGAAATTAAGCAACCGTGTGACACCGGGATGACACAAGACATCATGAATGGCTGACAGGGACTGCTGGTCGTGGCACATGCCGCAGTAAGATCTGGAAAACATGGCAGGAGTAATATTTTCTTTGCCTGGTCTATAAATTATGTCAAAGTCATAACAAGATAACTCCATTCTCCACCTTAGGATCTTATCGTTCTTTACTTCTATCTTATGTTGATTGTCAAACATGAATCCTACAGAACGTCTTCTAGTCAAGTAGTGTCCAGCCTGAGTAAGGACGGCGGCAATAGCAGTATCTGAGGCGTCAGTTTCCACTACAAAAGGCAGTGACTCATCAATTGCCTTAACCACAGATGACTCTATGTCCTTCTTCAGTTGTTGGAATGCCTTTTCTGCCTCTTCAGTCACTGGGAAGCTAGTGGTGTTACTCAGGGAACGAATTTTGTCCGAAATCATATATCCAATGCGAATAGTAAGCAAAAAGCCCAAGAGTACGACGGAGTGATTTCATATCTGTCGGCAAAGGTAGGTCACGAAGAGGTCGTAGTCACTCAGGATCAGGACGAATTAGACCTTCTTCGACCACATAGCCTAGAATGCTGAGACTTCAGGTTGAAATTGTGCACTTATCTTCATTATAGGTCATGTTTCTCCTCGCAGCAGCTTCAAGGAATTTGTTGAGATTGTCATCATGTTCTTGCTGCGTCATTCCACAGATGGTGGCATCATCTAAATAGGCGTAGGTACCAACAAGTCCTTCCTCCTTGATCAACGAATCCATAATTCTTTGGAAACAAGCAACTCCATTAGTGACACCGAATGGGATTCTTGCAAACTGGTAAAGTTTACCTCCTGCTTCAAGAGCCGTATACAATTTGTCTGTATCTTTGATGGCCACTTGATGATAAGCACTGCGCAGATCAATGGTGCTAAAAACTCTATACTGTGCTATCTTATTCACTGTTTCATCAATGCGAGGAAGGGTGTATCTATCAAGGAGTGTAAACTTATTGATGGTTTCAGAATAGTCTATGGCCAGCCGTTTCTTGCGGGACTCGCCTTTCACGACGACCACGAGCACGCCATGGTGAGTTGCTTGGTTCGATGATTCCTTCCTTCAATAGCCTTTGTACTTCTTTTTCTATAAATGCGCGGTCTTCAGTGGAGTAGCGCTGCAACAGGATGGCAATCAGCTGTAAGATTGGCAAACAACTCTGGAGGATCAATCTTTAGCACACCAAGTCCACAAATAACGAGCGGGGGCAAATTACCACCGTAATTCAACTGAACACTTTCATGGAGTTTCTGAAAGTCTTGGCCAAGAATTACGTCAGAACATAACTTCGGGAGCACAGTGAGGCGTACACTTTCATAATCCCAGCCGTTCACTTTAATGTTAACCTCGCAAACTCCAGACGTGTGAGCAGAAAGAGAAGTGGAAGCCATGGTCACGGCACTTTTAGAGTGTTGTACATTTAATGAGTGGTGTTTAACTAGATCTGGATGAATGAAACTCTCTGAACTACCACTGTCAATGAGGCCATCAGCTTCGATTCCGTTGATCGAAACTCTCGCAACTGCCTTTGACAAGATGCTTGGAGTAGCAGCACTAGTTATGGTAGCAAGCAGAGCGCCATTGTTAGGAGTCACAGAACCACTTACACTGGAGCTACGGCACACTTTCGAGAAATGACCCTTCTTCTGGCACTTATGACACACCGCATCACGAGCACGGCACTTTGAACGTGGATGCCGTAGAAGACCACAAAAGAAACACTTTGCTTTCGTAGCACTTGCCGCGAGAACGGATTCGGATTCAAGCGTCTTATTTTCCAAAAGGCGCTGTCTGATTGCTGGTGATTGCAAGCCGCTAATAAACGCATCCCTCATGTATTCTTCACAGTGCTGAGTTGCTGTTACCGCCTTAAAATTACACTCTTTACTAAGAATTTTCAGAGCACGAAAATACACGTCCAAAGACTCGCCTGGTGCCTGACGACGAGTCGCAAGGCGGTGGCGCGAAACACTTCATTAGTTGGCTTGGAAACTGACTGCAGTGTAGTTAAGGCGTCGTCGTAGGTAGTGCACTCGGAAATACTTTCATAAATCTTTGGAGACACAAAATTGATGAGAAGTCCGAGCTTGTTCAGATTCTCTTGCGGTAGAACGGCGATGAAAGTCTTGAAGGTCTGTAGCCAATGCCGCCACTCCTGTGCTGCTGTGGGCGAGTTAGAGTCACAGTCTAACTTTTCAGGTTTCAATAGACGCTCCAT